GGAAAAATACTAAGAGGGCAGAAAAGCTGGGGCGGGTGGGGTGACCCGGCCACACATCGGGTCACCTATCCTAGTGGCCCGAAATCTAAAAGGGAGAGAAAAGGCACGAAGATGTGTCATGACAGAGGAGAAAAGCCCTTGACTTTTCCGACACTTCCCCTCAGCTGTCTGGCAATTCAGGGCCGGGAGGCTGCAGGGAGGTGGGGTGTGCTCTGGGCAGCGAGCCTGCTGGGCACAGGAACTCGCAGGGACATCAGGGAATGCCCACTTCTGGGGTGTAAGCCAAGCTGCCCAATTCCTCTCGTGGAGCAGCCAGGTCTGCGCGGGCTTGAAAGCGACCAGCGAAAAGCCCTTTGGGACGTTTGCTTCCGTGAGGCCAGAGGCTACTTCGCAAGCACTCAGTAAAGGGGACAAAGCGAAAGGACAAAACAGGCTATTTCCAGAAGGAAGCGCACACCTCTGGCTCCCTCTCCATCAGGGTCACGGGCCTGGGACAAGGAGGAGGACACGGCGCCAGAACACTAACGGGGCACCTCGGGAAGGAGAGATCCGGGAGTGGAATGTCCACTTGGTGGGGACACGGGGCAACACTGCAGCAGGGATCAGTCGGGGAGCGATGAAGGGCCGGGATGGGGCCGGGGCCCAGGAGCAGGCCGCATACAAACTGACAGACGTGCACCCTGGGCCCCAGCAACTGTGCTGAGGGCCGGCACTGGTCACCCGCACCCAGGACTTGGGCTGCCCTATCTGTGGGAACAGCTCTCCAGGGTAAGCCTCCCTTCCGCCCACGGCCACTACGTACTTCAACAGCACTCAACATTCATGTAACAGGGGCTCGCCGTCTGCTCAGCACGCAGTTTCTGGCTGCCTACAGTGTGCCCGTGCTGGGGAGACCGATGTGAGCCGCCCAGATAGGTTCTGGTCTTCGGGAACTTGCATTTTTGGAGGTGGGGGGGAGGGGAAAGCAAGAGGAACAAACACTCCAGAGGCCTGAATGTGTGGAAGTAAACAGAGTCCTCAGCCAGGGGTAACAGAGCCCAGGGAGGAGGCAGAGCCCCCATAAAGGAAGCAACAATCACACTGGTGGCAAGGGGTGGGGGGCAGTGGGGAGCGCAGCCGGCGGGGCCACGAGCAGAAGTCAGCAGAGAAGCTCTGGAGGCAGCCGCGCTCCTCTGAGGGTCAGAGTCACCATCCACGACGCCTGTCCTCCCCTTGTTGAGGTCTGCTGGTCTCCCAGGGGGCGGGGCTGGGGTCCTGCTCTGTACGCTCACACCCCGGGCACAGTGCAGTGACCCTGGCATGACACAGGGCCCCCCGGGGCCGTGACCGAGGTCCCGTCTGTGGCGTGGGGAGACTGGGTCCGCACGGCGCAATGAAGCCGTGCTCAGGTGTCCTCAGCAGCACTGTTCCAGCGCGGCAGGGCCCTGACAAGAGGCTGTGACGGAGGGCAGAGCCAGCCAGCCGAGGTAGGATCTGAGGGGACAAGAAAGCCAAGCTAGATCTTTATTCCACATGCTTCCTCTAGGGAAACTGGCCAATCTCTAGGCAATGGACACTTTCCAGGGCTGGCTCGGTTCAACCCAAGGTCCCAACACTACATCCGAGTGGTGGCAAGCCTGCTGGCGGGAGGACAGCAAGGTTCTCCAGGACCTGCAGGGAGACACCTGACCCCACAGAACCATGGAAAGGCAGGAAAGGAGCTGAATTTCCCCCAAGACTTATTCCACAGCTGACGCGAGAACTTGCACCTGATCGTCTCTGAGTGGCAAACAGGCGGCCAAGGACCCACAGCGTCCTGGTCACCAGGAGACCTCGTTTCCTTAGGACAGAAGCAAGCCACAGCTTTTCTCTCTGTGACTCCGAAAAACCACATTCACACGCAATCTCAACCAACAACTTCATCTTTTACCTAAAATTTCACACAAACCGACGACCTTGAGTCTCACAGCATCTCTTTCCTCGGTAACCCTGTGGCAGAGGCACATTGTCCAAAACCGGAAGGGAAGCGCAGCTCGCAAACCTAGGGGCGCCTGCCTAACCACGTCCTGACAATACCCTTTAAACAAAGCTCCAAACGGAAACGATTCCCTCAGCTGTGAGAAGATAAAAGATCTCAGATTCTCAGCTTACAACCCTATAACCCCCCAGCCCCATTCTGTTCTTGTGAACCAAAGTCAGACAGGCAGGGTTTAAACCCCACACACTTACCAGGCACAGCCACTGGCCACCACAGTTCGAGATGGACGGAGCCCCGTTGCACCAGCAGCTGGCTACGAAGTGCAGTGCTTACCGTGAACCAATGGCTAAGTACTTCCACAGCAGCAACCTTTTCCCTCCCCTAAACCAGAGCATTTCTTTTTCTTTTTTTTTAAAGATTTTATTTATTTGACAGACAGACAGAAAGCACAAGTAGGCAGAGCAGCAAGCAGCAGGAGAGGAAGAAGCAGGCTCTCCACTGAGCAGGGAGCCCCACATGGGGCTCAATCCCAGGACCTGGGATCATGACCTGAGCCGAAGGCAGAGGCTTTAACCCACTGAGCCACCCAGGCAACCCCCAAACTCAACTTTTAAAGGTCATGATTTCAGGGGCACCTGGATGGTTCAGTTGTTGGGCATCTGCCTTTGGCTTGGGCCGTGATCCCAGGGTCTTGGGATCGAGCCCCAAATCGGGCTCCCTGCTCGGTGGGAAGCCTGCTTCTCTCTCTCCCGCTTCCCTTGCTTGTGTTTCCTCTCTGGCTGTCTCCCTCTGTCAAATAAATAAATAAAATCTTAAAAAAAAAAATAAAGATCATGATTACAAAAGGAGCGTCTGGGTGGCGCAGTCAGCTGAGTGTCCAACTCCTGGTTTCAGCCTGGGCTGTAAGATCAAGCCCCTTGTCGGCTCCACACTTGGTGGGGAGTCTACTTAGGACTGTCTCTCCCTCTCCCTCTGGCCCTCCCCCTACCACAAGCACATGTGTGTGCACTCACTCTCAAATACATAAATATATCTTAAAAAAATCATGATTACTAAAGAGGTAAGGATATGCAATGGGAAAAATCTCTTCAACAAATGGTGTTGGGAAAACTGGACAGTAACCTGCAAAAGCGTGACACTGGGCCACTTCCTTATACAATGTACAAGAAACAAACTCAAAATGGACTGAAGACCTAATGTCAGACCTGAGCCCATAAAAATCCTACAGGAGAGCACAGGTGGTGATTTCTCTGACATCGGCTACAGCAACGTTTTTCTAGATATGTCTGTATAGGGGCAAGGGAGACAGAAGCAAAAATGAACTACTGGGACTTTACAAAATAATAAACCTTTGCACAACAAAGGGAACAGCTGACAAAACTAAAAGGCAACCTGTGGAATGGGAGAAGACACCTGCCAATGATATACCCAATAAAGGGTTAGTATCTAAAATAAAGAACTTACAAAACTTAACAGCAAAAACCCAAATAACCCAGTTAAAAAGTGGGCAGAAGACATGAACAGACAGTTCACCGAAGACGACACACAGATGGCCAACAGACACACGAAAAGATGCTCCACGTCACTCATCATCAGGGAAATGCAAACCAGATCCAGAATGAGACGCCACCTCACACCAGTCAGAATGGCTACAATTAGCAAGTCAGGAAACGACAGATGCTGGCGAGGACGCGGAGAAAGGGGGACCCTCGTGCGCTGTTGGTGGGAATGCCAGCTGGTGCGGCCACTCTGGGAAACAGCATGGAGGTTCCCCGAAAGGTTAAAAATAGAACCACCCTACGACCCAGAAATCACACTACCGGGCATTAACCCCCAAAATACAAAACACTAATTCAAAGGGATGCACGCACCCCTAGGTTTACTGCAGCACTATTTCCCAGAGCCAAGACACGGAAAAGAGCCCACATGCACATCCATACACGAACGGATAAAGACGTGGTGTAGACACACGATGGAACTCTACTCACCCGTAAAAAAGAGGGAAATCCTGCTATTTGCGACAACATGGAGGGAGCTAGAGAGTGTAATGCCAAATGAAAGAGACCAGAAATAGACAAATACCATATGATCTCACTTGTAAGTGGAATTTAGGGAACAAAGGAGCAAAGGGAGAAAGAGAGACAAACCCAGAAACAGACCGGTGACGTCAGAGGACACACTCCTGGCCCCCTGGAGGGGGGGGGAGCGGGTGGAAGAGGTGGCAGGATGATGGGGTGCGCTTGTCTTGGGGGGCTCTGGGTGATGTGTGGACGGGCTGCATCATTACGGTGCGCACCCCAAACTGGTGCTACACTGTATGTTAACTGTCCCAGAACTAATTAAAGAAAAACAGACCACGATTAAAGTCCTTCGATCGGATGATGATGCATCATAAAACCCGACCTACCCGCGTCTGAGAGGGTATGTTAGTATCACCGTCTCTGTAACCTGAACCGCAGAGTAAGTAAGTCAATTATAACCAAGTGAGATGGCTTGACCAAAGGCTGAGGTGTTTGGAGACAGCCCCCTATGATCCACTCCTAAGGATCTTTCCGGGCACACCTCCAGAGATGCTTGGCCCAGCCGGCATCCTTGTCGGAGGACGGGCTCAGGAAGAACAGATAGAACTCAAAGGAAGCTCTGAGCTCGTCGTTTGGAGCGCATCAGTCTCAAGGACCTAACGGACCTGAAAATCCACGATGGTTTTAGCTGAACGTGACCTGGAATATCATCTGAAGATAGCAAAAATAAAAGGAGAAACGATCTCCACTCGCCACACAAACCCAGAGCTCAAGAGAACATCTGGGTTGGGCGTCTGAACACCGTCGCCAGCAGCAGCGAAGGGGAGGGTCCGCGGAACTGCCAGCTACCAAGCCGCAGACCCAAGTTCTCCGACTCCAGCCGACTCCTTGCCCTGCCTGGTTTCGGGCCCTCCCTAATCACCACAGGGACTGCTCCCGGGGCAGTCCTGACGTCCCAGGCTTCACGTCTCCCGCCCCCGATTCCCTGCCCCACCCCAACCCCTGCCAGCCCAGGCACTCACATCAAGCTCCCCGTCGTCCAGCTCCCCATCATCATCCTCCTTGTTTTTCTCCTTGGCGGTCTCCAGGGGCTCCTTGTCTTCCACACTGTGAACGCCTGTCGCCCCCTCGTCCCCAGGAGCTCCTTCCCCCTTGTCCTCGTCATCCTCGGCTCCGGCCTTCTCGGCCTCGTCCTCCTGCCCGGCGGGGGCCGGCTCCTCGGGGACCTCCTCATCGTAGTCTAACTCATGCTCGTCCAGGTCCCTGGTGACCGACGAGGCCTCGTCCCTCAGGTCGCTCGTGCGCTCTTCCTCCCCAGGCGGGGGGCTTGTGGGGTCCCTGCTCAGGTCCCGGGCCGGGTCCTCCTCTTCAGAGTGACTGTCCTCCTCCTCCTGGCTCAGTCCCGGGCCGGCGTGGTCCTCGTCCTCCAAATCAGACGCCCTCCCCCCAGCTCGGTCCAAGTCCGGGTCGGACCCGCTCTCCCTCAGAATGTCATCGTCCGAGAGCCCCTGCTGCTCCTCTTCTTCGTCCTCTGGAGAGCGAGGGTCCCGTTCAGGGCTCTCGGCCACATCCATCGGTACCCACAGGTCTGCAAAAGAAAGAGAACACAGACACGCGGCAGTCAGCGGCACCGAGAGTCAGTCTCGGCCTGGTTTTCTTGGCCCCGTGCTCTTCCCCGACCTGCGGGGGGACCAGGACCTGCACCTCTCCCGGTCCCGCAGCGCCCCCCAAGCCCCAGACTGCACCCCACAGACCACTGCTGCTGGCGGTGCCGCCAGGAGGCCGCGGGCTGGCCCCGCACACACGCATCTACGAGGCTGCACGCAGTCCCTAAGCTGTGTGTGCGCCGCGGCTCGGCGACCCGGCTGGGACCTGGAGCACTCCTCGCCACAAGCACGCCCGGCAGGTGAACAGAGTAAGCAATGACACAGGCAGGCACAGCAGGGAAAGCTTTCTGGATCCTTCAGTTACTTTTTAAAATTCAAGAACAGCTGCATTGTGGAATGAGGCAACAAAACTAAAGGCACACTGTTCTCTTTCTAGAGCCACGCTCAAGGGTCTGGAGCAGAAACCCTGGCCGGCCTTGTCCCCAGGCCACGGGCTAGCTCCTGTTCCTGAACGCACGTCTCCAAGCATGGCCCTAACTGCCCCACCAGAATCTTCAAACACGCAGACCTTGGGCCTTATCACAGATCTGTATGCTGGGGCCACCAACAGATGCCCAGAAAGTGGCATCCGTTCGTGCATGCTGAGATGACCTCACTGAAAAGCGGAGAGCCATCATTCTAACAGAGCTAGGCCACAGAAAAGAACTCTGGCTGGAAATTGTATGTATCTGAGTAGTTTTGTATGTTAGAAGAAGGTCATCTCAGAAGACCTTTTTCTTCAATTTTTACTAATCTAGACTTCATGATAAAGCAGACATTTTTCGTTTTCCCACCCCATGCCCCGTGACAGGACATCGTTCCATCTGTTTAAACGTAAAGTGCAGAGAGTGGGACAGGAGCACACAGTCAGCATTCACCAGTGCAGCCTGAGTCACTGCGGCACTAGTTGGAAATAATGGGACCAGAGAGGGGCTCAGTGTTTACTTGGTTCTTCGAAATTTTAATTTAAAATAATGCATGTCGCACGCGCGCAGCTTGGTACTTTAGCAAGATCTGGAAACACACCATGTAACGACGTACTTTAAATATAAAGAATTATTTTGCGCATTCATGTAACTAAAAACTAAATATATATCTTTCAAGTTTATACTTCTGAAAGGAGAAACTGTGTTTAAAGATGCATATACCAAGAGATATCTTAACCTACGGTTAAAAATACTTTTCTTTGCAGTTAATGGAAATTATTATAATTGAGTACACATTAAGACAAATCACTTAAAATTCACTTTATAAATCAACTAAATGTTAACAATATTAGAAATTTACGAACCAATCCATTCACAGCCACAGTTTTAAAAATGACTCACTTTTCAGTCTTCCTAACTGCACTATTCAGAGGTAGGACTACTGGGGAGGATTGTTAAAAAGTCAGGCCTCAAGGGGCGCCTGAGTGGCTCAGGCAGCTAAGCCTCCGGCTCTAGGTTCCCGCTCAGGTCGTGATCTGAGGGTGGTGAGGATGAGCCTGGCACGGGGCTGGGGCTCTGCACTCAGCGGGAGTCTGCCTGAGATTCTCCCTCTCCATCTGCCCCCCCACCGCCCCTCCCCAGGGCTCACACTCTCTCCCTCTCAAAAAAAGTCAGGCTTCCAAAGACTTTGGACTCTGCTGAAAATCAAGAGGCACTCTACCCCCGGGGCAGAGCCTGTCCCTGTGCACAGCACACCTACTGGCCACGGGAACGATGAGCCAGGTGCCCGAAAGCTAAGGGCCTTCTGTTCGCAGCTGTTGCACAGGGCCTGGAAGGAAGGGGGTCACGGCAGCCACTCAGGGCCCCTTCCCCTTTACTAAGGAGTAAGATTTTCCTTTGTGTATGAGTCCTATGTCCGTCTTTGCACAGTTTTATCACACCATCTGTAAGAAACCTTCCTCGTGGGAGGGCAGCGACTTTCGTCTCCCCAGCTGCTGAATCTAGACATGTACCCTGCGGGCAGCCAGTCACTTGGAGCTGGTCCCTGAGCCTCAGACATCCTACTCAAAACCTGACAAATTCTTCTTTTTGCTTAAAGGGGGAGAGGCAGAGAGAGAGGGAGAGAGAGAATCTTAACCCGATGCGGGGCTTGAACTCACGACCCTGAGATCATGACCTGAGCTGAAACCAAGAGCTGCACGCTCAACAGAATGAGCCCCACCAGGCGACGCCCAGCAAATGCTGATTCCCACCTCTTTTAGTCCAACGGCAACCCTGAAAACAAAATGACTTCTTACTTAAATCAATCAAATGTTATCTCAAATTACACGTCCTCTCAAACTAGTTTAAAAATCTGCAAAGGACAAGTCTGCTCCCTGCCTCCCAACACCCGACCCTGCTCACGGCCACAAGCTCCCCCGGCCTGGGAACAGCCCTTTGCTGGGGCTCGGACGCAGATGGGTCTGCACTTCGGTGTCAGGGTCATGATTCAATCCAAACTGCTTTTTATATTCTGCGAAATTGAAATCAAATCCTCGAGTAAGAAATGGAAAAAACAGAGCATCTAACTTCAAATGCCTGAACCAGTGCAAAATGTGGGCCAGGCCAGCGGGCAGTTTACCCCTTGGTGTGCTGCAGTGTAATGGGGTACGCAGACGGTGCAACAGCCTGGGCTCTGTGTTAGAGCTGAACCCCAGCCCCTCTGCTTCCCAGCTTCGGGATCCTGGGCCAACTACGTGCACTTGCCACACCTCAGTCTGTCTCTTCCCCTGAAATATGGGGACAACAGTATCTACTTTACTAGGCTGTTGCAACAATTAGATGAGATAAGCCAGATAACATGCCTGGCAAGGGTTCCACATATCTGAATTTAAACTGAATTAGTGGGAAGACCAGTAAAGGTAATCCTCACCTTCTAAGAACCAGACCCCTATTGCTCCTGACAGACGCATTTCCAGTGTCTGGGCGCACCTGAGTAATTCACTCGCGGCCTGACTCGACAAACAGCTCTCTACTCCACATGAGACTCTATCATTGCAAGGATGTCTGCAGTGAAGCTGGCAGCCGCCACCATCTGCTAAGAGACGACCCCTGTGTCAGGCACCCGAACAATCTCTCACGTCAGCCTTCCGAATAAGCCATGTTCCCTGTCATGGCGGAGAGCCCAGGCCACACAGCCACTGAGCGGGTATCCTGGGACTGCAAATCAGAGCTGCCTCTAGGGCATGCAGTTGGGTAGAGAGCCTTGCGCTGCGTGTGAAATGAGCTGGTGCTCCCCACTGGGGAGCCAGCCCCCACTTTCTGCCGTTGTTTCTACAGGAAAATGGAACCTGAGTTCAAAGTGGTCTTACAAACTCTTTTTTGGGAACAGAACCCATTCCTGGGGACTTCTACTGAACCAGTAGATCCTGCCCGTTTTTCTTTTCTCCCTTTTAACATTTCGTGTTGATCCGTCTACAGTTCTCTCAGGCCCTCCAGAAACAAGAACGCTCTCATCCACATGGAAAAGGTAGCACGTCATTTATATGGTCTATTAGTTAGAACGGCTACGGACAGGTGGAGGCCGACCTGTGACATCAGTCATTTATTTTAACCTTGTCTGAAGTCTGGCTCTTGAGCATGTAAACTAAACACGAATCCAAGAAAAGAAACCACAGGGGGGCACACCTTTACACGGGCGCCCCGGGAAATGCCAACTGGAATCATAATCCTGAGAGGCCGGTGTACTACGGCAGGGCAAGTAATTTTAAGACGTCCTGAGTACATCCCCCACAGTTTAAATTTCGGATATCACTTCAACATGCCGAGGACACAAAGGCCCTGAACTTCCTGACTCTCAAAGGCAGTTTCCAGTGCTGACCAGAAGGGGGCAGGGCAAAAGGTCCCGGGCGCACCTGCTACTAGGAGGGCCGCCTGCTGTTCTAGGTGGCGGTGCTTAGCCTTAGTGGAGCACGGGGAGTTTTGAGAATCTGATGAAGGGGATGGGATGGCTTCTCTCCCTAGAAAAAACGGAATGTATGCAACTTAGCTCCCACTTTCAGGAGCTCTAAATCCCCTGAGGTTTACCTACTACTCCCAAATTGAGAATCTTGCCCTAAGTATACTATACGTCGCTCCAGTACACATCCAGACTGACCACGCCACGCACAACTGTCTGCAAAGTCTGCCGGCAGATCCCTCCCCTCCATAAAGTACCTGAGTAGAAGGCTTCAGAATCACCTCTGCGTTTCCCAAGCTCAGCGAACAGCTAGCCCTTGGTGGCAGTGCTCCATGTAAACTATTGCCTAAGTTGGGTCACACCTGAGACTGTAAAGGGGTCACTATTAACAATTACAACAGGCGGCTCAGTCGGTGAAGCCTCTGCCTTCGGCTCAGGTCATGATCCCAGGGTCCTAGGATCGAGCCCCGCATCAGGCTCCCTGCTCAGAGTGGAGACGGCTTCTCCCTCCGCCTGCCACTCCCCCTGCTTGTACTCCCTCCCCCTCTCTGACGAATAAATAAAATCTTAAAAAAACAAAAAACAATTACAACAGGCATGAAGAGGGGCTGCCCTAGGCACAATGGGAAACACAATCACCCTTAGGAGCTGACAATTTCCTGAAGAGTCCCGTCTCTTCTCTTCCGATGGAACCCCTGTGATCTGACAGTATGAGGCCACAGGCAGGCGAGCACCCTGGAGAGAAAAGTGTGCCCGAGAATCTACCTATTAGAAACAACCTGAGTCACAGCCTGCGGCACAAAAGAGAAGTGTCACTGGGAGTCAGAGGATGGTTTGTGTGTCAGGCCCGGGGCTGGGCTGGTTCGCGCTCTCTCTGGCCTTCTACATCCTGTTTTGAGATGAATCCAGTCCTGCAACCCCTTGAGCACGCGCTAGGGAGGACACGCAGCCTATCGCGTACAGATGATGACACAGAGGGTCCTCTTGACCCATCTGCATCAACTCCCAGTTCATGGTTTTTACTCAGTTGTTCTTCTCATGTGATCACCTTGTAACTGAAGATTCTTGGCGAACTTTAGAACTACCTCTCCAGTTCTTTGACCCACAAGATGGTGAACTTGCCCAGAGAACTGAACGACAGGTGTCCGTCCCTGTGTTTCCACTACTGCATTCAGCAGACGATGGTCGACAAATGCTTGTTGAGTAAGTAGCAAAATCTTGTTACTTGATAAACTACCTGTTGCATCCCACGAAGAAACTGGAAGTGAGTGCCCCAGTTTTAGAAGACCACCCCAGACCTCGACACGCAGTGGGTGCTGCCTCATGTCCCAGCAGCCACTCTGGAAGGCTGCACGCGGACTCCACTGACAATACTGAAGTGCAGACCATTTTGGGAACTTCTCTGCTTGACTGACCTTTCGAACCCGCAATGTTCTTTCCTGGTGCTCTGGGAGAAGCAGGTATCCCTCCTGTCAAGGCAGGTCACTTTGAGAAATCACAGGAAACCATTCAGAGCCTGGTGTGGTAGTACATGAGGTAAGCTACCGAGCCAGGTAAGACGATTGCTGCTTAAACATGGGGTATGGCTATTAATGAGACCAATTTTATCACACGGCTTTCGTATTTATTGCCGATACACAAGTTAGAAGGCGGTATAGGCAAAGGAGCACCCATGAAATGTAAACATAACCTTTTAGGACAACAACTTTTAACAGAGCAATCCCCATTTGAATGTTTAAGTTCTGGTACCTCTGCTTAAAAATTCTGATTCATGGGGCACCTGGGTGGCTCAGTGGGTTAAGCCTCTGCCTTTGGCTCAGGTTATGATCTCAGGGTCCTGGGATCGAGCCCCACATCGGGCTCTCTGCTCAGCGGGGAGCCTGCTTCCTCCTCTCTCTCTCTCTCTCTCTCCCTGCCTCTCTGCCTACTTGTGATTTTTGTCAAATAAATAAATAAGATCTTAAAAAAAAAAATTCTGATTCATGACCTCATGGATTACAGCATCTAAAGGAGGAATGTCAAAGAAGATGACAGACTCCACCCCAAACTGACTAAACTTGACCCCAAACTCCCCAGGAAAGCAGCACTCACCTTGAGACGACAGGTAGCTGTGAAAAAGTGAAAACCCTTCTTCCACATGAGCAAGCTCACAGCTTACCTGCTGGCTCCCTGGAATGATCCCACAAAGCTTTCTTACAACATCTGGGCGCTCCCCACCCAAAACCAGAGAGGAGTTTGGCACACACATGCGTGCTCAGACTGTAAAATTCTCCAGCGAAGACTCCAACTCCACTCCACGAGCACCGGAGGGAGGGGAGTCTCAACGAAGAGATGGTGAGACTCTGCTGGGCCCCCAGGCAGCACGGCAGGTACCAGACACCCTCTTCTTCCAGTGCCCCCCCGGCGGATGGAGCACTGACCTACTCCTGCAGAAGAGCCTGCGGACCGGAGCTCTCCGAAGACGCCCGACCACTCTACGCGGCAAACGCGCTGCCCTAAAGTGCTCGAGAAAGCTCAGGCGGAGTCCTGGGCTCTCCCGGCACGATGGCTACAGCTTATCCAAAGGACTCGGCATCCTTTGGTTTCCTCGCTGAAGGAGCAAGAAGTTCATGCCTAGCGCGGCGCGCGCGCTGGGGCTCGGCCAATACACCCAACCTGTGCGCGCCGAAGACGAGGGAGCAAGTTCCGGGAGGCTCCCGAGAGCTCAAAGTTCCCGGGGAGCCCATCCCCAGGCCGGGCCGGTCTCCTCGGAAGGGTGCCCCTGCGTGCCTCGCCCCCCCACCCCCGCCGTGGGCGGCAAACATGTGCCACGCGATGTCCCGGAAGAGAAATGACAGCTTCGGGAGAATGGAGTCCACCGCGGGGCGCGGAGCTCCGGGCTCCAAGCAGGTTCCAGGGCCGCCCGGGCCGGCGAGCCGCGGACCGGACGCGGGATCGTGCCTGTTTCCGCGACCCCTGCCCACGACCTGAAAGCCACGCTCGGCCGGGGACACAGCCCGGAGCGCTCCCCGGAGGCGGCGGCGCCGGGGCTCCCGGGCCTCGGCTCCGCGCCGCCGCCACGCTCCCCGCCCGGCCGCCTCGGCCTCCTCCCCGCCGGCCCGGCCTCCCAGCCGCCGCAGCCTGCGCCTCCACTTACTTCAGCGCGAGGGCGGGGAGGGGGCCACGGCTCCGCTGGCGTCGGGGCGGCGCGGGGAAGGCGTCCCTCGGCCCTTCCGCTCCTCACAGGCTCCGGCTTGAGGCGCGACGCGGGCGGAACAAACGGGCTCCACTACCCGCGGGGGCCGGCCATTGTGCGACGTCATCAGGCCGCGACGGTCGTCCTGCGGGCCGGCGGGCTTCCCTCGCTCGCCCCGCCCTCCGCCCGCTTCCTTCCGGCCTCCGCGCGGCCGCCTCCGCGCGGCCCCGCCCCCGCGGCGCGCGCCCGCCCGAGCCCGCCACGGCGCAGGCGCCGCCGAAGGCCCCGCCCCAGGGTGTGTCTCCGAGCCCGCGCGCCCCCGGCCGCCTGACCACGCCCGCGGAGGGGGCCGGGGGGAGGCGGGCCGCGCCGCGAGCCCACGTGACGCCGCGCGCCGCCGGTTCCCCAGTGGGGCCCGCGCAGCGGGTGAGAGCGGCGTCGGCGGCGGCGGGTGTTTCCGCCCCGCACCGCGCACGCAGTCTGGGCAGCCCGGGCGCGGCCCCCTGCGCTCCGCGGGCTCCGGTCGGTGCCGCCCAGACCCGGTGCCCGTGGAGCGTCGAGGGTCTACGCCGGAGCGAGGCTGGGACCGTCCCGGCTCTCGTGCGGTCGTCGGCTCCACGCGCTGCCCCTTCGGTCGTGGGTGCGAGGTTCACCGAGCGGCTCCCGCCGGCCGCGACCCGCTCTCCGGGGCCGGGATCCCGCGGGGGCCCGGCCGCGCGCAGCCGCTCCGCGTGGGGCCGCCGGCGGGGGGTCAGACGGCGCTTTCTGAGAAGATACTTGATGTTTAAGTGACGTGAGCCCCGGCGTGGGGCTGGAGCTCACAGCCCTGAGAGCAGGAGTGGGACGCGCCACGCACGCAGTGCGCCTCCGGTTCTGTAGGGGAAGGTCCGGGGCTGAGCGGAGAGCGCGATGCGGGGCTCGATCCCAGGACCCTGAGATCATGACCTGAGCGGAAGGCAGAGGCTTAACCCACTGAGCCCCCCAGGCGCCCCACGGGCTGGGTTCTTCATCATTCCTGAGCAGGGGCCTGTGTTTCCATTTTGCACTGGACGCTGCGAATTATGTACCTGGTCCTGGGTGCGGTGAAGGGCGTTGAGAGACGCGGGGCAGAGCAGGCCTTCCCGCAGCCCATCCTCCTCCGGAGGGCCCGCGGGAAACCGCAGAAAGAGCTCCTTCCTGGTCCGCCTGCCCCCGTTGAGCCACGAATTTAAGCGTCTGGCCGACAGTGAAGTTGCATGAATTTGTAGAGGTTTGCCCGGTGTTACAGGAACAAACGAGCAGAGGAAGAAATGGGGCACGCACAGAGCTACCACATGGCCCAGCAATGACCCTCTTAGCTGACACAAGAAACGGAATAGGCACAGACACCTGCACACACACGGGAGTTGGTAGCAGCTTTACTCACAAGAGCCATGAAAGGAAACGACCCACATGTTCATCAGCTGATGATCGATAAGTACGGTCTATCCGTTCAATAGGATACGTTCAGTCATATAAAGCAATGAAGTCTTTACAAGAAGAGACAGCACTGAGTTCCCTCTCTCTCCTCCTCCTCCTCTTCCTCCACATACTGGGGGGGCACAAGAAGGGGGCACCTGCTTCCCTAGAGGAGGTCTTCCGCCAGAACCTGACCATACCAGGACCCTGTTCCCGGACTTCCGGCTTCTGGAACGGTGACCATTCTGAAGGTGAAACACAAATCTCTTATTGGGGGAAACCAGGTCATTTGGAGTTTGGTGTCAGCCGTCACTAGTGGTCGCTCTGACGCTAACTGGCAGGTGTGCACACCTCCATGGTCCGTGTGCTGGCAGGCGTGGTCCCGTCTGGCTGGGGTCATGGGCTTGGTCGAAGCCAACAGGCCCGCCTGAACACCCCTTATGGGCCAAGATAGCTGGTACGACTCTCCCAAACCGTGACAGGTGTTTGCACAGTGATCATGGGGGTCACTGAGTCTGAGTTGAACAAGAGTGACAGTCTACCCCAGGTGACAACCACTTTGGAAGACCACAGGCACGTTGAGAGCAGTGCTCTGTGACCAAACAAGGCAAGCCTAGACAGGCATGCTCAGAGTGGAGCCCTTGGACGGCAGCAGAATCCCTGGACCAGCTAGGAATGCACATTCTCAGGCCCCGCCCTGCGCTTCTGTGCCAGAAACTCTGGCTGTGGGGCTGGCAGGCTGCCTTTTCACAGACCTGGGGATCTGATGCCCCACGGAGGGCGAGACCACAGGACTGGACTTTCTTGCCTGTGGCCACAAGGAAACATGAGCAAGGATACTTACAGGAGATTTCTTGATAATAACCAAAAGAACAAAGGGGAGAGAACAGAAGTGGCCCAGATGTTTATAGCTGAGTGCAACATTGTATAATGTGTTACATTGCAACAGATGAGTCTCGCCTGCATGTACATGATGTCTATAAGGATGGTGCTGTTTTCTTTCCACTCTGGGAAGCTGTTTCAAGCATGGCATTGACTGCCCCATTGAGGAGTGATGGGGAGGCACAGTGGATCTTGAGCAGGGGAGTGACATGAAGAAAGGTGGCATGTTGGTCATCTTAAAGCTTCATCCGAAGCTCCTACATCTGAGTCACCCCCGGGGTCTGTGGCTTTTCCTCTTGGTTTTTAGTGATCTGGTCATGCTTTGTAGCACACCTTGTACTTCTTATTGATGTTAGACACGATGGATACATTTTTACTGGGTGCTGGGATGGCCTTATCTGCTCCCAAAGAGGGTCAGGCTTTATTCCTACAAGTGGCTGATTTCAGCAGATCACTGGGCTCCGTTAAGCTTTGCTTCTAGGATTCGCAAGGGCTGGTTGTTTCTGAGAGTGTGGCCTGCCCGTACTCCTGGGAGTGGAACGTCTGCACTCTCAGAGGACGGTCTGCACTGTCCGCACCAACTCCGTGTCCGCAGGCTTGATCTGCAACCTGCTTCTCCCGCTTTCATGCTGCTGCCGCCCCTCCTTCCAGCTCCCGGTCTCCCCAGGTGCACGTCTCTGCCTGTTCTCACGGTTTCCCCAGCACGGGCAGCCACCACACCGCGGGTTTGCACTCAGGATGCTGGGCTTCTCTTCTCCAGCCTTTTGCCTCACGTTCCAGATGGCTTAGACTGTCCGCTCAGCTCAGCAGGGCCGTGAGTGCAGCTGTTTCCCTCCCAGCCTCACCTTGTTTCTCTTTGCTCAGGGGTGGTAGCTGCACAGCTGTGCATGTTGGCGGCCCTCCAAATGCGCACATGCACGTATTTCAGCACGTCGGGGTTTTACAGCTGTCTTTAGAGGAGGGCGTGGGGTGGGGCTCCTGCGGGGGGTGGGACCTACATTCTCACTTCTTCAAGGTAGCAGTGCCTGTGCGAGCCGCTGCTGTTTTCCCAAGATGCCACTAGAGGGCGCGCCAACCCCCGTGTTCTCTGCTCCCAGGCCTGGGGTGGGGGCTGATGGGTGCTGCTTTGGCTGCCAGTGGCCCTCAGCCCTTCTCATTCTCCGGGTGGCCCCTTGTATGACCTCAGGCTCCTGGACGTTCCAGTGCTATCCAGTCCCACCTGGCGAGAGGCACATGCGTGCACAAACACACACACATTCCCTTTCGTCTTCATCCAGAAGCTCTTTCTTCAGCTTCATGAGAAAATCGATGGAGTACACATTTCTTTTCAGCTCTTTTATGTGTTTGGAATTAACTTCTGGGAGACAGCTATGGACGCGGCTTGCAGGAAGGGCCCCCTGGTTCTGTGTCAGACACTGACTCCTGCAGACCCCTGCCTTCTCCAGGCTTTGTCCCTGATTCCTGAGGGCTGCCCAGCACTGACTCTGCCAGCCTCTTCCCTTCTTTTCTTGGAGACATTCAGGGATGACCCTTGGTCCCAGCCGAGCAGTGGCTGCCAGCCCCCTCCTCTCTGGTGTGGCCGAGTGAGTCAATGAATGAATAATTGCATGAAAGAATGTTAGTTTAGTTCCCAACTCACAGCCTTTACCAAGAGCGAGGACTTCTTCCCCCCGTAACAGCATGGGCACAGCACTCTCGTTTCATGCTATTGTGCAGCCCGTGGTTTCCCCATCCCAGCTGTCAGGGACGCCCTTTCTAGAAGACAAGGGGACTGTGGTGGCCAGTCTCCAAGATGGTCCCGAGGAACCCTGGCTGCTGGGACTCGTGCTCTGGAGCAGTCCCTCGATCTGGGCTGAGTCATGACGGCTTAAGCTGGCAGGGGTGGGGGAAGGCACTGTGTGCTCTTGGAGCCCTGAGGTGCTGTAGGAACTCCGGCTTCTTCACAGGCACAGCTGCATGGGGAGGGCCAGGCTTTGCCATCCCAGCTAGCCCAGCCTGCTGGTCTTCCTTGTGAGACAGCAGGTGCACAAGCACTGGTCTTGGGTTGTTGACCCAAGACACCTAAGGCCCCACCATCACCACACACAGAAGACCACCCAGGGGAGCCTGTTGCAGCACTGTGGACAATGAGGAAGTGCCTGTCCTTGGGGCCCAGCCCCAGAGAAGCAAGGCCACAGGGACTCTGCCGCACCTGGGACCCGGGCTCTGCACCCATGCGGCCCCCCAGCCCTGTGATGACTTTACCACCAGAATACGACTTGCTTTCTCTTAGTGCCAGCCTGCCTACATCTCTATGCCAACAGCTTCATACCTCCACCCCCAACCCTCTTTTATACGAAAGCCCCCTGAGCTTCCAGGAGCACCTCCCACCTTCAGCAGAACCCACGGCCAAGTACTGGTCAACAGCTGGACAGCGTCACTGTCCACCAGCCAGAGGGGTCACAGCCGTGGGACCAGACATGAACCCTTCAGTTTCTGGGCCATGGAAGAGGTCCAGAAGTCCCCAAGAAGAGTCCAGCTGGCTGAGGTAGAGGGTCCTTGGTTATGGACAGATGGTATGGGAGTCGTGTGGTCATTTAGCACTGACACAGCAGAACACCTGCATGCTTCTTTGGGGGCCTACTCCAACACAGACCCTCCCTCCCCAGGTCCGCTGGGGCATGCCCCAGGAGTGCTGTCTGCAACACACGTTTGGAACACCTCCTTCCCTGAGCCTCCACCTCCCAGCTGTAGGTTTTCACCAGCTGCCAACTTCCTAAGTCTAAGGACTGAGAAGCCACATTCTAGGAAATCTCACTGTGGCTCATCCCCAAATCCTCGCTCCCAAGAGCA